GATTTGGGGCAAGCTCCGCCCAACGTGAGCGGGTCTCAAATCACTTTGAGCGTGCCCTATGTTAGGAAAGAGCAGATCAAGTGCATGTCGAGAAACACCAACTGTAGTGGGTCATTACCGTGTCGGATTTTGTGGGCAATATACTGGTTGAAATGACGAATTTTCAAGTACTAAACTGGGCAATAAAATAATAGACTTGCCCTTCAACTGAACTTGAAGTTTTCTCTGGGAAAGTTTTGTGGTGATTGATTAGGTCAGGTAATTTTTTAGTTGTGAAGGGCAAGGATGGTGTACGACGAATTTGCACCTGTATTTTTGTATGTAAAAAAGGACAAAATCGGCAGAGTTAGCCCTGAATTTGACGAATATTTTCAACCTCTAGGTCCTGTTTTTAGGTCTCTTCAGAGGCTTACGTGGCCCAGTTGATGTTCCTGAGCTATCAACTGGCTCTGCAGGGGGATTTGGATGTGGCTCGACAAGGCTCTGTTTGGGGGCCATGTATGCTGGCTGTCATTTACGCTCGCATGCTTCGGCAGCGGGGGCATATTTATCGTTTAGTTGTAGTTTTTGGGAGTCCACTGCAAGCGCGGTGGTACGGTACAACTCTCTTCCAGCATCTCCCTATCTGTTATCTTCCAGCATCTCCCTATCTGTTACCCTTACCGCTGGGAACTCTAGCGAGATTCATATATGAGAGTATCCTTTGAAAGGTTCAGTCTTCTTTTGATACCGTGGAATGTGCTCCAACCCCCCCCCCCTCCTTTCCTGTTACAGGGCGTTGCTGCGACTGTTCCTACTGAGGTAATCAAATTCAGTGCCACAGAGATGTTGAGAGCAAATTCACATTCAAATGTCTTTGCGATATGGGATAAAGCTCCAGTGCGTGGCACTTGTCCTAGAAATCGAAAGTTGTTCACAATTGAGAAATCAACTCGCGAACATTACATATTGTGGTGTCACAAATTTTTCGGGCACTGTTTGCTCTTTTAGGCTGCCGCAATAGTTCGCGACGTGAGGTTCAGTCGCGCGACTTTCCGATCGCGCTCCACCGCTAACAGTTGGACCGCCGCGAAGTTTGAATTGGGTTTTATCCTGACTGTGATTATATAGCTGCTCCTTTAGTCCAACAACTAGCTCTCGGGCGCATATAGACGCGGTTGCGCGGTTCCCAAATCGAACAAGTGAATGTTTTGGTTGGCGAAGTTCAGCGCTTTTCAAACTCGGGGAACAGAACTACCATT